TGTATGTAAACTGCTGTATGGAAAGTGAATTTGCTCTGTAAATTTTCACCCAAATCACAATAAAAAAAAAAAAGGACACATATGTTTATATTTCTCAATACAGTCTCGTGCACAGCAAGCAATCAAAAAGAATTTATCAATTGAGTCAATCAACTAAAGCATCGTTGCTTTCATTATTTAATGAAAGTCAGGATATAAAACTTCAGTGTCAAATAAAAATTTTAAGTAATATTTCTTATTTATTACATATTAAGTGTCCTAAAAAATATAGATTTAAAATTTAAAGGGCTATGCTAAGGTTTTCTAACTCAATTATACAGGTGGTTAAAGGAAAAAGATAAAAAGTACAGTACAGTGTTTCAGTACTGAGTTGGAGAGAATCTCATTTATGTAATTTGGAAGCAAAGTTCTTTATATTTTTCTGATGCACTTACTTCTGTTTTAATCTGATATAGGAAGTGGATAAGTTGTTCCAAGCTTCAGCATTCTGAAATGATAGAACACAGTTATAGATGATTCTTATTCAGGTAAAATAATCACAAAAATGAAAAAATACAACACATTTTCCTATTCCAGTATGTGCTCTACAATCCTAATTTTCAATAAAGTATGTTTAAAATTTTATGAGAAAATTAAACTTTTATAATTTAAAAAAGTAATAAAAATAGTCAACTAAATGATATAATTATTATAGTACTAATTTGGATTTTATTTCCAAATTCAGATTTATAAAATAGTCCCACAAATTACAACATAATGTACTTTAATATATAAATTATAAATCTAAGATAATGCAGAATATTGTTTTCCATTATTTATTGTTATTATTCATCAGACAGGAGAATAAAGGAGTAACTATGCATTCTTCAGTGATATTACTAAGTATTCCATCAAATATACTACAATCAAGGTAGAACTATTCCTCTTCCCAATGATGAAAATAAAGTCATTACATAAATGTCAATTCTAACAAGAGTGGTATAAATTAGGTTTGCTATCCTTTTTGTTCCATACTTTATAAAATATAGAGTATATATTTCTCAAGTGCCACACATGATTCCCAAATTAAGTCACTGGATCTCCACTTCCAAACATAGCAAAATTAGTACTTAAGTTGATCTCTCACCATAAAAACCCACAATATGAACAAAATATGGGAAACAAATGATTTTGAGAGATTGAACAACAGACATTACAGGATTGTGATCTCTGAGAGAAAGGAAACAGCTGAGGTATCTCAACTATTAACCTAGTCTTCTATCTGGGGATACTTTCAGGTCTGCAGTACAGAGAGGGAGAAACCAAATAAAGCATGCCAAGTCTCGCTGAGCTAAGGAGAAAAAGATTACAGTTCAAGGTTGAAAAAGTGGCTGGAATTTGTGGGATAGAAGAGCAAAAAAAGGGAATTGTGCAGAGAATAAAAAACCAAACTCAGTGCCATAGAGTCAGATCTGACTCACAGTGATCCCTCCTTGGGTTTCTGAGGCAGTTATCACTACAGAAGTAGGTTGCTCAATCTTCCTTCTGGTGCAGAGAATAAACTTCAGGAATATCAAAAGATGACCTTTAAATCCTTGGTTGAATACTAAGCTGCACTTGTACAGAGCAAAACTCCTGATGGCCTGATAGAGAACAACTACCATGAAGCTGTGACTGAATGGAGGTTTTGGAGGTCACCAATGACAGTAGCCAAAAACCAAAAACCAAACTCACAGCCATCGAGTTGATTCTGACTCCTAGTGACTCTCACTGGGTTTCCAAGGCAGTGAATCCTTAGGGAAGCAGATTGCCCAGGCTTCCTTCCGTGGAGTGGCTGGTTTGAACCACCAACCTTCTGGTTAACAGTCAAATGCCATAGGCACTACACCACCAGAGCTCCTTATATATACATACACATGCACATATATTTCTATGTAAGGTCCTTGGGTAGGTAGTAAAGAGTTCTACGGAACAGGCATTTGACTGCTAATCAGAAGGCTGGCGGTTCAAACCCACCAGCCACTCCTCAGAAGGAAGATGGGGCAATCTACTTCTGTAGTGATACTGCCTCGGAAACCCAAGGA